CTTTCAGTGTCATTTAATCTTGTTTTATGTTCTCCTACTTCTTGAGGCAATTTGTACCTTATTTTTAAATAAATTTTCATATTTTCTTAACAAGTTCATCATGTCATTCCTTTTATCCTCATCTAAATGGCCTAAGTCTACTTCGCTAAGATGAGAATGATTATACTTGTCATCCACACTGGGTGTGAGATGGACTTCTCCTAGTTCTTCTTCGTTCTCAAATATTACACCTTACTGACTGTACTTTTGGATTAAATTTTATAATTTTATTTACGTGTACTGTTCTTATTGTACCCCCTGCCAGTTTGACTCTGTAAGAATCTTGATTACAACGAGATACTATTTCTGCAAGTACTGTCCATCTGGACTATCATTTATTACTGGAATCTGGAATCAGCGGGTACACTTTATCTCCAGGTTTGAATTCTTTATATATAGCACTTCGATTAGCATATCTTGCATATGCACCTTGTTTCAATTCGTCTATTATAGATGCTTGCTCAGATGCTATTTCTAAATTCATGTTTAGCTCCTGTAGATAATCAATAGCACTTTTACGCAATTTTATTGGTTGTGGTGTTGCGTGGCCCCAACTTGCCCGCAACAATTAAGGCATTTACTAGCGGGCGATCTGGAATTCCTTCGTCAACATTCGCCGCCTGCGCCTCACCACTTCGTACCTCTTCTTGCTTCCCTTGCACAAACTTGTGGGAACCAAGCTTTCGCTGATGATTTCGTGCAACAAACTCGCGAATTTGTGCAAACTCAAGAACGTTCCGTTATTGTGAAATTTCGATTTCACGGACTTTAGCAATCGACTTTTTCTAGAAGTTCGGCGGTCACATGCTGGTCTCCACTTCGATCTTCGTAGTGAACAGTGTTTCGGCCATTTAATCTTATGACCCTGACGCCTCCACCTTCCGTGAAATGTTGTCCCCCTACACTTCACGAAGCTGCCGATAGATTTCTATCGTTGACAGTTTTTGCGTCAGAAACCTATTACTGAGCGCCCTGCAGCTCGCGGGATTTCATTAACGCGACATTTCAACCGTCACGTATCTGAACGAGCACGCACGAACCTCTCACTAGCACGGCTGATCAGACGAGCTGCGCAACCTCTGACCCCGAGATTGCCGCGCTACCCCGCCCCTATCGGACACAACGAACGAATCTACTTCCTGGATGGCCCTCGTATGTGCTTGCTCTGCTGCTATTTCTAAATTAATTTTTAGCTCCTGTAGGTAATCAACAGCACTTTTACCCAATTTTATTGGTAATGGAATTTCTCCTGACTATGACGATTTTAATACTGACATCGACCTCTGGCCTCTCTTCCATACATTAATTTAAATGGGGGTACTCCCATAGTACAATTTGGAATTTCGCAGCAAGCGAATAATAGGTATGGTATGTGTTTGTCCCAATTTATCGTCGTTTCTAATGATATGATGAAGCTAATTATATGATTTAGAACTTAGTAATACCGTTCAACTTATCCCGAACTTCGTGGATGTCCTGGTGTTCAAATCTAGGCCTTGCTCCTAATCTGGCATGAAATTCTTGTGTTCATTCTACAACAAAATTGGTACCGTGATCGCTAGCTATTACCTGAGGTATGCTCGTTCTCATAACGATTTCTAATAATGTGTCACATGTTGATTTTGCTGTAATTGTTCTCAAAGGGACAGCTTCTGGTCACCTAGAATGTTGGTCGACTAAACATAGTACATATTTGTGTTTACGAACTGATGGAGGTTCAATTGGACCGATTATATCTACATTCACTGTGTCAAATGGAAATTCAGGCCTGGCAGGGACAATACTGGTACTGTCGTCTCTGCACCTTGGCTGTGGCATTGTTACATTGTAGTTTGTCGCTGGCGGGATGGCACTCAATTCCGTTTTTCGGTAGCCTTAGGTCAGAAGTTGTCCCGCTAGAGGTGTTGTACTTTAAAACAAGATTTGAACATACGAGGGCCATCCAGGAAGTAGATTACGTTTCCGTCTGTGTCCGCTAGGGGCGGGGCTAGTGCGGCCATCTTGGGGTCAGAGCGTTGCGCAGCTCGTCTGCATCTAGCCGTGCTAGTGAGAGGTTCGTGCTGTCTCCGTTCAGATACTGTGACGGTTTGAATGTCTGCGTTAATTGAAAATCCCGCGAGCTGCGAGGTGCGCTCAGTAATAAGGTTTCTGACTGCAAAAACTGTAAACCGATAGAAATCTATCGGTAACCTTCGTGAAGTGTAGGGGGACAACATTATCACTGAAGTTGGCGTGCGTCAGTGGGTCATAAGTTTCAAAATGGCCGAACCAATGTTCACGACGAGATCGAGTGGGACCCAGCATAGTGACCGCCAAACTTTCTCGAAAAGTCGATGCTAAATCGTGAAAATCGAAATTTCACAATAACGGAACTTTTCTTTGAGTTTTGCACAAATTTCCGAAGTTTGTTGCACGAAATCATCTCAGCGAAAAGCTTGGTTACCACAATTTTGTCAAATGGAAGGCAAGAAGAGTAAACGAAGTGGTTGAAGGCGCAGGCGGCCGAATTTTTCGACGAAGATTCCAAGCTCGTACATCGCTACGATAAATGCCTTAATTGGTATGGTGACTATGTAGAAAGTAGTATGAGTGTGGCTTTCATCTGTATATAATAAAATTTGTTTCCTATACTTTGTTTATTTTTTTATTCCAAAACGTAATCTACTTTCTGGATAGCCCTCGTATATATTGTTTAATAATTAAAAATAGCTCTTTAAACTTATTGTTTACATTTTTATGCACGTTTAAAAATCTGAAACTAAAAAACTACATTATTATTGAGGTTAAACCAAATAATACTCGTGGGGAATGGCGACAATTTTATAATTAAGAAATTGCTAATTTTCAGTTCTGTGTTACTAATAATATTGTGTGGATGGAATATGAACCTAGGATATATTTCATAACTTCTGAACTGGTAAGGAAGCCATTAAAAATGAGTCTAGACCAGTGGTTCTCAACTTTTTTTTCTCCATGCACACCATTTACCATTGCTAGATGGCCATTCTCCGTCTTCAATTCCCAAACTCGAAAAGTATATATACATCTGTATAAATTTAGATAATTTTTTTAATGTTTGGTAAATTAAACGTACTACTTTGGTAGACGGTTGCACGGATTTTTGGCGATTTACGCTGGCACGATTTTTACAATCGTCAGTCATCTTGAAAAACGCTGTTTTTACGCTTTTTTTTTTTTTTTTTTTGTTAGTAAAGTATTTGAAACCTGAAAAAGAATAAATATCGTTAAAAGTAATGGATTAATTTTTTGTTGAAAATGTCGCTTTTTAAGATGGCAGGCAAGTGTAAATAAATACATTTACTATGAGTATAAAATATAAAAGTAAGGTTATTATTACTTCCATAGCAAGAAGAGAATAAACACCGCTATAAAACATTGTGCCAACGTTTAATTAGATTAAAATATTACTGAAATTGAATATCGATTAAAAACCATCATACCAACATTTAGAGAATTAGAATATTATTAAATTCAAATACTTTAAAATATGTTATATAGAATATAATTAACATTAAAACATATGGACAATAATTATCCTCAGCAATTTTTGAAAATAGTATATTAATTTTTTTAACAAAAATTGAAGTATACAATTATAAAATTAAAGAAAAATATGTACTTACATTTTTTGAGTCATTTAACCTGTTGTTAGCTCCAGTTTTAGGATCTATGAAATGGAGCGAATGTTTAACTTGCAAGTGATTAAAACCTTCTTCGCTCAAACGGTCAAAAGCTTTCCAGCAGTCCAAAATAATCTGGTTTCCCGGATCAATCCAATCCTTAATTAAAGCCAGAAGAGTATCCCCATTTTCTGTCTGGCACAGCACTAAAAAACACGACCTGATCGCTCTCTATTCCCCCAAACCCACTGCCCTTCACGAATCGATCCTTGTTAAACTTCTTTTTCGATTTGGACTCGTCAATCTCCACGATTTTCCCAGGCCCTCCGATCTCTTCGTTTTAGTTTTCTACAAAATTAATTACAACGTCGTTACATAACTGCACCAGTCGGCTACAGCTTCTGAAAATGCCGAGCTCACATTGAATTCTATCGTGCATAGAACCCATGAATATTTCGTACACTAGAGCTAAAATGACAGCAATTGGAAATTTACTGCCAGGAAAAAAGGAGGAATGTCTAATCCTTTTTTTTAACCGTTACGTGATTATTTCTTCCCCCGTTACCACAATACCATATACGGCCGTCCTCGTATTCTCTCTTTAAACATCTTCATCTGTGATCCCATTTTCTCGCACTTCATTGAGAAGCAATTAGCGAGGTTTCCTCCAAAAATTTAAATAATTTCTGCTGACCCTTGTAACATTTTGTAAACAAATCTTTGATTAGGAAAGCCAGGCTGGACAAAATAAGGTCTCAAAGGATAATTTTTTTATTCCAATACCAATAATTCTTGGTACTTACCAATAACAACATTCATCTTAGAAACAGACATCTTTGAAGGAATTTGAAGATATGAATTAAATTTTAAAATGGTGCGGGAATGCACAAATTTTGAGTAACCAGTCGGGGAGCTGATTGCAGCTCGTTAATGCACAAATATTCTATAACCAATCAGAGAACTTATTACATCTCACCTAGAATTAAAATTCTTTAAAAATTCATACATAATCATTTTTTTAAAAAATGCAAAATTAAATTGTATTTTAATATTTAACAGCCATAAATAATGTTTAAAACATTAGATTAAATATTAAAACCAATTACTTTTAAGGTAAGGTGACATCTTGATTACATCATCCACATCATAAAATTTCATAAATATGATAACAATAAATTTTTTTTCAAATAAAATGCAAATTAAATTGATTTTTAATATTAGAAGCCATAAATAATATTTAAAACATGGAATTTATGCATAATAAAATGCATTATTTTTTTAAATAAATTAAATGACAACAAAGTATTGGTTACCATAAATAACTTATCCAGCAATGGGTTTACCATAAGTTGAATTACTTGCCAAAATCCGTGCAACCGTCTACCAAAGTAGCACCAATTAAACAAGAAAAATATTTATAAATACCAAAATTTGAATAAAAGTAGTGTTTTATATTTATAATCTAAAATGAAATACTTAACGTGTAAACAAAAGGCTGACTGCACCCCCTTCGAAACTATAAAATCACTTGTGGTCGAGAAGCCCTGGACTACACAATTATGCTAGCAATGCAAAATTACTTTATTGAATATTTACTACAAAATTAAATCAAAAGTGATCTGCATGTGTATCATAGACAACTCTGAAGAAAATCTTACCAAAGTTCGGAAATTTTACAACTTAGCAATTTTTAAATTAGGCATTCATCAGTATTAGTTTATTAATTTTCAGGAAAGTAAGTAAAAAAGTAAGGAGTAAATCCTGTGCTGATAGTATGGATAAAATGTTGCACGTTACATTAGCTGATTTTCTGTTCAACTTATTGTCTGGGGGGGGGATCGGTGGAATATAAAGTGGGGTAATTAACACTGGAAATTTTGAAGATGAAATCTTGAAACAATTTCTTCATTATGCTTCATTATTCTCACATGATGTGAATATAAAATTTGTTTTATCCATATTTGTATGTCTGATTTCATTTCTCCTCATTTAACGCATTTTATTTGAGGCTGCAGGTAATTCTTTTATTCAAAGTCTGTGTCCTTTTTTGTTTTGTTGATGTTTATCTAATTTTTTTCCCTGTTTAGATAGCAGAAGATGTTGTAAATGATCCATTTCCGAGACAAGGATGCAAGAAAATGAACTTAAATCATCTCTTGAATTTTACTTTGGCACCTTTAGAAAATAGGGATGCAAACCAAAGAAGAATAACATCTAACAGAACTAAACTACCCAAATATAATAAAGAACTATTTTTGCAATCCAAGTAAAAAAAATTTTCATATTAACTTGTGTATTAATTTCTTATGCTGAGTTTTTGCTTATTACAGTTTATGCAAGATTTTCTTTGTTATTAAAATTTAGACTATATCTAAGTAAAAATGTATAAAAAAAATCTGTCTTGATTCAACATCACTTCAAAACTATAATTGCTGTATGTGCGCATGACACAGTGCTAGTAATGACTGCTTTACATGAAATACTTATAATAATGAAAGACTGCAGAAGTTGTTAAAAGTGACTTGAATCTGTTGTTATTGTGAAATGTTAAATGTTTGTGTTCTTAAGTTATATTGAATGAAATAAGAATTCATCAAATGTGATGAATGAGTTCCAATGGTAGTATACCTATACGAGTTAGATATTTTCTTAGTCAAGCAGAGTGCACTTGTTCATTCTTAAGTTACTGTATTTATGTCTTTTGATCTAATGGAACAAAAACCTCAATTCACCATTGTAAGTAACTAGTAGTAAATCAGCCTTTTTGTCACTGCAGGGCATTGCGGTAGTTAATTAACATAATCATTTATAGTCTTATTTCTATATGAAATAGTATGCAGCTTGCATAAATTTTTTATGTTTTGATAATAGTGTTATGACATACAGTAATTTGCGCAACATGACATTTATAAACTAATTTTGCTTTTCTGTCAAAGAATAATAAGTGAGAGGATATAATTTTTGAACTATTTCTATCATATTTTCATCATTTACTTTCCCCCTTCTTTTCTTTAAAATCCTCTTGGGAGGGATATTGATGTAGTTTTTAAAGTTCATGTAAATATGGTTCCAGCTTGCCATATACAGTAAAATGTCGAAAGTTATGAAATACTTAGTATTGTGCAAAGCTCCTTGTACCCTGTCAAAATGCTTTATTTCAATATGGCATGGTAAAAGTTGGCAGAAATCTTCTGGAAAGATTTTGAGACATGCCATTTATAGTTGATTAATTTTCAATCTTTTTGCATTAGTATTCCAATGGAGTTATTTAATGCAGACATAATGGTGAAGTCACTCATCGAAACTGTCTAGAATGCTTCTTGAATGATCTTGAACAAGCTTGGGCCACTTATATTGTGTATTGTCATTATGCCTTTGAAGTCAAGGCTGGCATTTGCATTTAATTGATATTATTTTATTAAATTATTTTTAATAAAGAAAGTTTTGTTAAACTTTAATTTATATATTAAAATTTTATAAAATACTTTATTTTGGTACATTTTGGTAATTAATTATTTTTATAAAGGAAAGTGTATATATTAAAATTTTTAAAAATACTTTATTTCGGTACTGTTTGGTAATGGTCTTGAACAACCTTGGGTGATTTATCTTGTGCATTGTTATTGCACTATGGAAATCAGACTTTTGATTGGCGAAATTTTTACCAAAATTAGCTTTTAATATAAAAAATAAAATAAAAATTATTCTTCATTGACCTTGCTCTCCTAAATTACACCAACTAGGTAAGCTGTTATTCTTTAAATAACTAATCACATGCCAAAGCTTGCACACTTCAGAGGTAATTTCATGCTTAGGGGGTCATTTTGTCTAAAGAGAAGCTTGTGTTTAATTTACTGAAAATGTGTAATGCCTTTATGCCTAATTTAAGAGCTAGTAGGCCAGTATACTCAGATTGGAATTTTTTTGCAGAAAGAAGTTAATAAAAAAGTTAGCAGTAAAATTGTCGATTGTAGAAAAATTGTTAATTACCTTACTGAAACAAAAAGTACTAGAAAAAGTGAAATTTTAACACAAGTTGTAAGAATAAGTGGTACCATTCTCTTATCAGGACTGGATTCAGATATCGCCAATAGCTAACGATCTGGCGCAAAATTCTAAGCATAAAAATAGTTACTAAAATATTTTCTATACCCTTAAGTTGAAGAAAAACCCAAGGGGGGGAATAGAGTTTCTTAAAATTGGAAATTTTTAATGCAATGTAAAGAACTTGCCAAAGAAATGAGGTGGGGAAAAAAGGTCTGTTAGTGAATTGTGATTAACATGGAGTCTTGAAACTGTAGAATCATTTAAAATGTCTGGAAACATTTGTGTTTATAACATTTTAATTGTTTATGTTCAGTGTTGCATTGACGTTTATTTCTCCATTTCACAGTGCTGCAAAACCTTTCATAATGACAACCAGTGTCAGGATCAATAAAATTATATTTATGGTTAATGCAGAAGTGTTCAAAACCAACCTTTCTTAATTCTTCAGTGTCATATCTTTTCTGCAGTCTGAGTATATTATAGTGAATCTTGTCACGTAACTTTAAGCTAAGTTCAGCCAAAGTGGTTAAGCAGAGCAATTTTTAAAAAAAAGGGGAGGTTGTTTGTTTCTATGCAAATTCTGCCATGCACCCACTGGATAGAAGGAGACTTTTTTTTTATTTTTAATGTGGAACCAGATTTGATTAACTTCAACTATTTATTTTACCAGTGCCGCCTGTTTTAACTGAAGGTCTCCAGATGTTAATGCATGACCACAGACTTTGCTTATAAATTGTTCCAATCAACAACAGTGCAGTGGTTCATATCGAGTTGATACTGACAAAATTAAAGGAAAGTTAATTCATAAATGAAATTAATTGCCATTAAGAAATTGATTCTTTAAGCCAGTTTGGAGAATATAGTTTGTTTGTTTCCTTGGTGCATTATTACATCATCATATCTCCATTGTGGTGTTTTCCTTCAAATTGAAGTAGAGCTTCATTTTATGGTTTTTCGTGCACTTTATTTCAGAGTGAATAAGACATTGCTGAAGAAATTATATGGAAGATGTTTCATTATTAGGTCCCAAATTTTTATATCCATAGTGTATAAAATAATTATAAAAATACAAGTGACTGTTATAGCTTTAGAATTTGCACTGTCATTGCAAATTTTGAAAAGGCATTCTTAAGCTTTTAAAAAAAATAATAATGACCATTGAAAATACATTGACGACTTCATATGGACCAATTTCTTAGAGAGTTTAGCGAAATATTTGGCAACGATTCTAGTCCTGATAACAGAACAGTACAACTCACAAAGAAATCTTTGATGTGACAGTAGTAAAACATTTTCTGAGTTGTAATAATCCTTTTGCTGCCAATGAGCATCTGTCTTTTACATTTATGATCAGTTTACAAAGGCCAAATTGTACATCTCCTTGTTTAAAGTGCATATCAAATTAAAAGGAAGATCAAAAGGAAGGCGAGGGAGGATAAAATCCTTACAGTGGTTGGATTAATATTTACGGTAAAGATGTTATTGATAATATTGATAATACTGTTTGTATTGGTACAAAATGTATTTTCCTTAATTCTATAATTACAGGGTTTGGGGGGGGAAAAGAGTATAACTTATTTCATAGAAATAGCTAAAATAGCAGTAACCAAAAAATTAAAAGAGGAATGCAGGTGTACAGTATAAGCTTTTGTAACAGATAATGAGCATAAAATAGAATCACCAAGGAAAAAATTAAGGATGTTCTGTGCATAATTTAAACTGTCTTAGGTATTGTCTTCCATCAACACCTGTTGTAAGGCCTAGCTTTTCACAAATATTTCAAAACCATTGCAGATAAGATATTTGGTTTCAAGAATACTAAATATATAAAGCAACAGATATATAACACTATGAGATGAAACTGTCTGATAGGTATAGGTAAACTGTGTGATCATTCTTAAAGTGTCATCCACATTATTTACAAATACCATAAATTTCCGTATATAAGAGAATTTTTGGAACCTTTTCTCTCTAAAGCGGAATAATTTAGGTAGGCATGTGTACTGATAATTTCATAAAAAGCGTAGACTCTTTTTTATTAGCTGGGTGCAAGCAATAAATTACCTAAAATATGACCTTTCTGTACCTTTCAGGTTTATGAAAAAATTAATTTAAAGTGAAATGAGTTCCTAATTTTATAAAAATGATTTTTTTTTTTTTTTTTTTTTTTTTTTTTTTTTTTTATATTTTGTTGCTGGCTTGTTGCATAGCTACCAAAATGAAAAAAAGATTAGCTCAGACCACAGATACAAGTTACCCCAGATTGTTTGTTTACAACAAGGGGAAAAAATGACTTTCTTTCAAATATGGTTACCAGAGTTAATATCAACGTTGTTCACATCTGGCATTTTACTTTAGAGTGAAGAGTGAATTCATTGAAAAATATTGCACCCTTTTTCCTTCTTGGAAGTATTTTCAATTTTTTTATACGGCATGCTTGAGCTCTATATGATCATGAAGGATAATATAAAATTTTCGTCATTGACTTATATGTGGGTTTTAAATTTTTGGTAAATTTTTGATGAGGAAACACTATCAGGGCTTGTATATGGATTGGCTTATAGTCAGAACTATATTGTACTTAAAAATCATAACGAAGAAAGAGAAATGATAATGAAGGTTGCAATAATAAAAACTATTATTAAATTAGTAAAATATTTGATGCAACTATTAAAGATATTATAGCAATAAGAAATGGCATAAATTACATAAATTTGCAGCTTCAAAAGTTAAATAGTACATCGTTCTTCAGGTACAGGTATGATTATTTAACACACAAAGAAAAGATATTTTTACGAAATCACAAAAATAAACGATTTTTAAAATTTTGCAATGTGTTCAAAAATATTTTTTCATAACAAGTACAAATAGTACTGATAACACGTTAATAGTTCTTTACAGTATGTTACCGTTCAAAGCATTTTCCTCTATGAAGAGGAACACGGCAGAAGCTACATATGAAACACGTTTCACTTTGCACTTTTTTTACTGTGCACACGCGACATTGTCTTTTTGGATTTTTCTTCTTCCTGGCACCAACAATTTTCTCCAATACATGTTTGCGCATATCCATGGACAATCTTCCAGGAGGGTCGCGTTTTGATATCATTTGCTCTGGTTCTTCAGTGCTGATTTCAGGTAGTTCGTCAGTAACCCAATGTCGTGCGATGTCATGCAAAAATTTAGTTTATTTTATTTTTTGCATCTTTGTAGAATTGTATACTACATATGCATTGAAAAATGCACAATTCATCATATACATAGCTAAGCGCTTTGTCCACTTCACTGTTTTATGCAAAATACTATAGTAGGACAAGTACTGATCGGCCCGATCTACTCCTTTCATGTACTTGTCGTAGTCGATCAAAGCATTTGGCTGTATAATTTTTTGTCTCTTGATACGATCAACATTGCTACTTTCTTTCATTTCTGCAGAATGGATTGAAGAGATGAGACTGAGTTCTTTCTTGTACTGGCAAACTTGGACCAATATATAATTTTTTCTTCGAAAGATTGTTTCTCCTTTTTTCAAATTAGTTTTTTTCAGGCACTCTGGTAGACCTCTATTCTTCCTAAGTGTTTCGCAAATTCTTTTTTTTTTTTTTTTTTTTTTTTTTTTTGTAAAAGGGCTTCCACGTTATCGACGCTGTTGTAGTAATTGTCCATGTACAAATGGTGCCAGACATCAGTATATGGCGAAACTACTGTGAGTATCGTTTCGATGAAATGTAATCCTTGAACTGCATAAATTTCAAAATTGCAAATGTAACCAATGTCACTTTCAGACAATATTCGTATGAGTATGGCATATTTTATAATTTTTCCAGTGTTGTAATCTCTAAAAAACAATCGTCCTCTCCAAGGTATTATGCCCTCATCTAACGACACTTGTTGTTCCAGTTTGTAAATGTTATTGAATTTTTCAACAAAATAATTGAGTACAGGCCTGACTTTGAATAATCGATCAGAATCATCCGTGATGTGTCCATGGCATTGTTATTGAAATGCCAAGCCTTCCATATTTGGCAAAATCTATCCCTTGACATAGTTTTGACAAAAAAGGTGTACTTGTGCAGACATCAGTTGACCAATAATCATCTTGGCCGTCTTTACGAATTTGTCCCATGAAAATAATAAGCCCCAAAAATTTCTTCATATCCGGAATCGTAATATCTCTCCATTTCGTGCTTTTGGGAGATATTTTGAACTGATTCATATTTTGATAATAATACCTGTTTGATTCCACGACTAAATATGCAAAAAAGTCATCGCCTATAAATAACTTTACTGCATCAGCTGTGGATTCAGGAACATTAGCCATGTTATTTATCCCAGGATGACCCCAAAACTCTTCAAGGTCTGGAGGATTGTCACTCGATGACCATTTATCTGCTTCTTCATGAGAAGTTGTTTCAGAACTACTAGAAATTCTTCTTCGGACGAACACTCGAGAACGTGGAATAATGTCATCATCGTCACTTTCTTCGATATCTTGACTTCCAGAATCACTATCACACGAAAAGTCCGATAATCTGTCAGCGCATGTTTCTTCATCACTATCTTTGTCACAATGGTTCATTTTATCAATTTATTTAATCAATAATAAAAAAACCAAGCTTCAAATTGACAAAACACAACTTGTATGTTCTGGATCTAAGAATTCGATTGAAGACAAAATAACTCAACAGAAGACCAAGTAATTCGACCAATGGTAACTTGTTGAAAGAAAAAATGCAAAGCATTGCCTAGCAACGCAAACAACACCAATATAATGTCTAGATTTGGGGATCCACCACAAATCTACTAAATATGTATTTTTACGTGACCCTCCAGTGACAGACTGCAAAAAACGTAAAAATACGTTGTCGGCATGCTATACGTATTTTTGCGTGACCCGTGTTCCAGTAACAGACTGCAAAAAATGTAAAAATACGTTGCCCGCATACCAAGTGTTAAAGGATTTATATGCATCTTTTTTCCTAAAATATGTCTCAGGCTCATTAGTACAAAATTAAAGGCTCTGCTAGTTTGATCAATGTATACAGCTACATTGTCAAGGAATACCATATATACCCCAAGAGTTCATAATAAGTCTTTGAGTATAGAAGTGAAATTTCATTGGCTTGGGGTGGGGAAGGGAAAGCAAAACTTCTGTAAAATATGTGCAAATCTAATCAATGGAAAGAGAGGAATGACTACTGAATTCTTATAATTCCTCAAAACTAGAGAATGCTTTTCACTGTACTGGGATGAAAATTTAATCACATGGTCAAAGCCTCTGTCAGTTGCATCTGCTATTATGTTGTGGAGCTCACTTGTATCTAATTTGAGCCCATTAAAAATACCTTCTGATCTTGAAATAAAGAATTCATAGTGATTCTTGTATACATGCTGATGAAATTAAGTCATGTTTATTCTATTTAGTACAAAATTAATTACTGGTTATTTATGTGTAGTATTTTGAGAATTCAGCATAAGTTATATTTAACATGGTATTAAAAAAAACTTCGATTTTTTAACTATCTAAAAGATACTAATTCAGAAGTCAAACAACAAAAATCAGCGTTATATTCACAAAATTTTCACTGTGAAAATTTTGTGAATATAACGCTGATTTTTGTTGTTTGACTTCTGAATTAATATTTATTCGGCGTGTTATTGTGTCTTAATTATCTAAAAGATTTTAGTTACATATATTTATTTTTTTATTCCTTTTGTAATATTTTCAGAAATTTCAGAATTATTTTTTGTTCCTTTTGTAATATTTTCAGAAAATTCAAAATGTGTATATGTAATGGTTTAAAATTTTGTTTGTTTAGCTGTCAGTTTGTCGTGAAAGATTCCGGAAATTATACAGTTCATCAGAAAAACCCAGATATTCTAGTGGAATGGTCTTTGATTGAAGAAATAGTAGGTTTAGTTTCAGTTTCTTACAAAAAATATTTAAAAAATTTTAATATGGAAATTACAGTATTAAATAAATTTTAATAAGTGCACCATATTTTAAGAACTTATGTTAATGTTGAATAAAGAGTAAAATATTTTATATGAAATGATGCACAATGTGACTATTGTCTGAAATTAATTCTGAACACATTATTACATCTTATATATATTATGTCCAAAAATAATTAGTTATGAACACATTTATTTTGCAGTAATTTAAAAAAGGTACTACTAATCAGGGCTGTGGAGTTGGAATTGGAGTCAGGCAGATTTTTGGGGTAAAAGGAGTCGGAGCTGGATTCGTTAAAAACAGGTTGACTCCAGTTTGAATTTGAAATGAAATTAAAATAAATTGAAAAAAATTAATGACAAGCCGAGTTATTATTTTTATTTACGAACTGTATACATCAATAAATAGTTATTTTCTATTTTATTGTCATATTAATAAATAAATATAAGGATGGATGTGATATTTGCCATTAGTGATTAAACTGATTCATTTAGTTACAAATCTCACTGGTAAATTTAGGTAAGCAGCAAGAATTCCTAAAATTGATGCCATTCTTTGGAAGTGAGCAGGAAAAGGAGCAATTATTTGAGTAAGCAACGCAATAAGGAAGTACATATTTGATGATAAAGAGTTTTTAGAAGATGTAGATAACCCTAACGCAGAGTTGCCAACTCTCCCGATTTTCGACCACTCTCCCTCCAAACCAACCACCCCATTTACAATTATTCTCCCTTTCTTCCCCTTTCTCCCGACTTTTTCTTATTCTTAAAATTTCTCACGATTTTTATGGAACTTGGCTTAATACTTTGTTATATGAATAAAGAAAAAGTGATTTTGTATGTATGAAAGCAATTGAATTTTCTCTAGGTTATATCTAAAACAAAACCTTGTGAATTAGATAACTTCTGCTTTGTGAGTGAGAGCATATACATATCCAGAAACGTTGTTTTCCAATGGGCATCATGCTACACTGTGTGTTATCTGACATATACAGTACAAAGTCATTAATTCGGACACCCATAATCCGGACCTCAAAGCTACAAACATAGGCGTTTAAGCGTGCACGTAAGACCTTTACGACTGCGCATATGCGTCTGCGCGTGCGCATTTAATGTATAATGAATGGTATAATCTAAAATTATTTAATTATCTATTTCAGTTAATGTTGCATATTGCGCTGTTCCTTAATCTTCGAATTGGATCCGGCTTATTATTTTTTGCAGACTGTTAGAGCGATTTTATAAAAGTAAGCTTGAACTTTCGATTATGTAAAATAGAATTTCCGATACATATTTACTAATATGTAAAGGATCTACAAAGCGAAAGTATGTTTCGATGTCCATCAAACAAAAAGTGGAATTGTGAGTGCCATAGGTTGGCAAGTATGCCCTAATGTTTCACTAACAGAAAGACTGTGGAATTCTCTTGCAGAATTGGAAACTCTTCTTTCTACACAGTATATAGCCACAAAAAAGCTGTGATCTGAAGAATTGACAGGAGGCGAGAATGGAAGAATGTAATGTTCTTTCTGAAATGTAGGGCTTATTGCAGAAGGAATTATTTCTTCAATGAAGAAAAGATAAAAGTCTTCACGTAATCAAAGCACAAAACGTCTTTGAAACTAAAGAGCCCCATTTTTTCAGTAAAAGCAAGATTTGCCAGTTATAAATTTATAAAATAATACAAAGAACATATACATAATATTTGAAAGGGAAAAGAAACAAAATCTTTGTACATATTTACATTAAATTTCTTATTGTAGTCATTCAACTATTACCTCCTACTAAGGTTTAAGTAATAATTATATCACTATAGATGAGAAATTTAAAAAAGGTTGTTAATACCAGCTTTCTTTAGAGTTATAGAAATCTTGAACAGAGGGGTTTTATTCTCCAAGACAATTTTGACTAAATAATTGATTTCTTCTTGTAAGTATTCTGCATTGTTGCAAATATTTTTTATTCTGAGGAATTGAGTTTGTATGATATTTAGTATTGCTCTTTTGGAGATACTGAAGTGCCAATGGATCATTTAATAGTAAGGAAATCAAACTATCTTTCTTTGTTGTAAATTTTGATACCTTTAAAATTAATAATTTGCAAATCCAGGTAGTTAATATCTCCTTGTTGAAAATTAGTTTTGTTGAGTTTCAAATGTGATCGAATTCTTTTTTATTGAAGTTGTTGATTACAATAATATCATCCATGTATCTGTATATGTTAGAGTAGTATGAACGAACGTTGTACGTGAGATAACTCTTGTTGAAAATGAAATTCCTTGTTGAAAGGTACAAATTACAGATCGCTTAACTAATGCTGGTCCCCAGTGGAATTCCGTCGATTTGTTTAAAAAAAGTATTATTAAAAGCAATGTAGTTATTAAAAAGAATACTTTTTGAATCTAATTACCATTCTTCTTTGGAAACAACCGTAATAATTTGTGGAAATAAATCAGGTAGAGTTAAAAGACTGTCAAAGACTTCTTGTAATGGAAGAGCCATGTATAAATTCTCAAATTCGTAACCGAAAATATTTTTAACTTTTATGGTGTGAAGTGCTTCTATTATTGCTTCGTTACTACTTATTATCCAGTTGAAATTGTGGTCTTGCATCTTTAATAAAGTAGAAAACATTTTAAAGTATTTTAGACAAATGGTAGTCTGTTTCTTTTGTGTTTGGTGCCGTTAGCTATAAATTGCATTTAAACTGGTGTTTTGTGAAATTTAGGCAATGCATAAAGCTTGGAAAATCTGTTGTAAAAAATATTTGTGGTTATTTTATCGATGAATTGCAGTGAAACGTCTTTGCAGGATATTTGATGTAGTTTTAAGTTTATGATAGGTAACTGCCCCATTGAGTTCTTTTTTAATCAGATTATGATAGAAAAACCTTTCAAATGATACTAAAGGTATTATTGGCTTTGTTAACTTTCATAATGGTGAAAAGATTCTTCAATATTTTAACTTTCTTGTCTAAATCTGGTTTATTATGTGTTCTTTGATACGTCTTTTGAAGTCGCTGAGCATTGCTTCTTTTCATTCTAGGTGCGTTGTAGTAGGTAGGTTAGCTTTGTACTGGAGAAGACTATGAAAGTTTGTAGATCTTTTTTGCATTGTTGGATGCAGAATCTTTTGCTAATTTTGAAAGTGGTTCGAAATTTGGTGCCGAGATTCATTAATTGCCTTAAAGTTCTATCTTTTATAATTTCTAAATTTCCTGTAATAACATGGTGATGTCTATCTACATAAGAGTTATATCCTGGGAGTTTGCAATTTTGGGTATCTGGAGCTTCATCGATCTCATGGAGGTTAATGATTAAGCTCCCTATCCTCTCCCTCCTCTCATATCAATAGCTTGGCATATCAATAGTACAGGTAATAGCCTGTACTTTGTCAGGAAACAGATATTGGTGTATTTTAAAAATTTTATTAATTTTTAATTAGTCATAAACGGGATGCTTGAAGTGGATAGTACAGAAATGTTTATATTCATAAGATTCTTTGCTGTGTAGTTTGTATTTACAAAAGTGTATTATAATGTCTTTAAAAAATTATTGACCACACAGGTCTTTTTTAGTTAGGTAGAATCCTTTTTTTAATTATATATATATATACACTCATGTCCATAAATTAAGGATAATTCGGAGTCACGCGGAAATCGAACTCTAAAATAAGTATTATGACCTGTAAAATCACTACACACATCTTCAAGAATCATATGCAAATTTCAGGAAGTGTGCAGATGACACCGATGGTACGTCACAATGACGAGAGTGTAAGAGAGTGATATATAAGGAAAACAGGCAAAAAAGTAAAATTGTTCGCAGGCGCTTTATAAGCATTTTAGTGCAATAACCGAATAGTTATGACACAATGGACGCATTTGGATGATTTTTTACATGATAGAATTATCGGCTGTCTGGATAGACCTAATGTAGGCGTACTCAACTGGAAATATCAGACGAACTTGGAATTGCCCAGAGTGTCATCTCCAGGCTTTGGCAACGATTCCAAGATGATGGTAATGTGAGTAGATGTTACAGCACAGGTCGCCCCAGAGTTAGAATGCCGAATGAGGACTGGTATTTGGCAGTTACTGACAAAAGAAACAGGCGGAGCACAGCCTCAGACCTGTCTCGTCAGCTCTCTTCAGCCACTGGTACAACAATTTCAAGGCAGACCGTGTACATACGCTTAGGGCAGATTGGTCTATATGCTCGTAGACCTGTCAGATGCGTTCCACTTACTGCAAATCACTGTGGCCTGCGGTTAGCCTGGAGTAGAGAGCATGCATTGTGGATACCGCAACAGCGGGCTTCTGTGATTTTTTCCGACGAGTCCAGGTTTAGCTTGCAGTCTGATTCTGGCCGGACTTTCATATGGTGAGTTCCAGGTACCCGTTACCACCAAGAAAACATCATTGAACGACACCGTTACGGTGGTGCAGGAGTGCTTGTTTGAGGTGGAATTATTCTGGGTTCCAGAACTGACCTGCGTGTTTATGGATGACAACGCCCGTCCTCACTGTGCAAACATCGTAAGCGAATGCCTTCAATCGGAGGATATCGCCCGTATGGACTGGCCATCATTCTCACCGGACTTGAATCCAGTAGAGCACGTGTGGGACATGCTTGGCCGACGAGTTGCAGCCCGTCAACCTCCTCCTACATGTATACCAGAACTTCTTAGAGGATTCCGTTTTGAGTGGTGTAATATCCCCCCAAGATCAGATCGATAATTTGATACTCAGCATGCCTAAGCGTTGTACGGACTGTATTGATCGTCTGGGAGACATACATTGTATTAACAATCATTCCAACCATGTAATATTGATTTTTTTGTAAATAGGTTCTTTTTGTAATTTGTTCCAGGGAGAAAAAAATCTCTAATATTTTTAATAATATCAAACATATAGCATCTTTTTTTGCTCTTTACCTTTTGTTTAATAAATAAGCTTTACAAATAAGTCAAATTTGTTTTACTTCTAACTCTTCCTTTGCCTGATTTTGCATTATCCTTAATTTATGGACATGAGTGTATATAGCATAGCGTTACACAAATTCTATGGCATGGTTTAATCTAGAAATGGTACAGTGCAGAAATGTTGCTGTTATTCTTAGAATAGAGTGGCGAAAAACCCAAGTAAAAAATGAGGAATTAAGAGATTATTAATTGTGCACTATTGTTGTACTATTGCTGTTTAGCCAGTATCTGCTTACCTGCAGTTCTGTATATCAAGGGAAGCTGGAATGATCACTACCTGCTTTCAGAAATATCTATGAGAAGGATCAGTAATGATCAGTAAGTAACCATGTACAGCTAATCCTGAGATGGTCCGTCTCTTTTTGAAGACCCATCTCAAGACATTGTGTATGGGTCATTAATATTCTGTATAATATGTGACTCATAGTGACCATCATATACCTAGCTGAATATGATCTAATAACTGAAGCAGATGCTTATTATCTGAGAGATGGTAGAGATTTTTCATAGAATGCGAAGTCCGTTCTCAGTCTTCATGTGCTTACACCAAAGATGGTAGAAAACAACGTAATAACTGCTGTTCAGGCAGATTTCTCATGCACAAGATATTGTTTCTTGCCAACCAGTTTATGTGCATTGCCAGATAGTGTCTTAAGATTTCAAAAATAAGCAAAAGAGATTCTGGAAGAAAAACACAAAAATATGAATATATAAGGGAAACATGCCAGTTAAAACCAAGCAAAATCTTTAAGTTAAGCATCAGCTGAAAGTTGATATAAAATTGAATGCTGTCTTAATTTTTATTCTATTTCAAGTTTTAATTTGTCTTATAAAAATTACTTTTTAATAATTTACATAGACACTCTTAAATTTATTTTACTTTGCAGCGTTTACCAAGTCATGAAGTGCCATTGTGTCCTATATGCCTATATAGCCCTATAGCTGCAAAGATTACACGTTGTGGACATATATATTGTTGGCCCTGCATCCTCCATTATCTGTCTTTAACTGATAGAACATGGCAAAAATGCCCAATTTGCTTTGAAGCTGTTCACAAGACGGAATTGAAAAGGTTTGTTTTTATGCTAGGTATTTTTAATTTGTATTTGTTTTTCATAAAATATTTTTTATTAGATTAAATTGTTATCAGTAAGTCTAACTTCTTTAGTAGCTCTGTGGGTACATAATGGTTCATTACTTTCCTTTTCTTCTGGTTTTTCCTGGAAGAAACATGTTTCTTCCTAAAGAAGCCCAACCTAGGGTTTCACCAAGAAAATGTAACTCAGACTAGCCAATAAGTATTCAGTTCTTGAAATGAAACTGCTGAATTACATGTGTTTAAGTACAGTCTTTAAATATGATTAATATATCTGAATGAGATTCTTAATGCTTTCATGTTCAAATGTATAAATGATGCATTGTATTTTCAGTAAAAGCTGGACTTGAAAGTCAGGAAATGCTGAATACTGGATATTGAAAATTATTGATAGTTAAATGTATAAAAAAAAGCAATTCTTGCTAGAAAAGCCAAAGGAATGTGTAAAATTTCTTGTCTAGAATTATTAAAGGGGAAAAAAAAAATCTGAAAGGTCTCACATTTTAAATTACGTCCAAAGGAGTGTTTTTTAACGTTTTTTGTGTTATCTTTATTTATTAAATATCATGTTCTTTTCACTTAAACCATGAAATTCAATTAAGTAGCAATGTCGCAAAATAATTTTAAAATGAGCCTATCTTTAGAATTCTCAATACACAGTTCCGCGCCCGCAAGAGATAAAAAGGTTTTTCCCCCGCCACAGAATATTGCCATTGCTCGCTTTTAAATCATTGAGTTTGATACTGAAAAATTCGTTAAAGTTTTACAAAATATGAAATTGATAATAAAGCAAATTTCAAATTTGGTCTTCCACACGGCCATATTCGTAGGAGGATTACGTCATTCAAAAATTTGATGGCTTTATGTACCGTTGCTTAATCACAATGTGAGAAATATTTATGCAGATTTTTCATTATTGAATTTCTTCAAATATAATGCAGGACTCTAACATTTGGTGGCAACAGTTTGAAAAGTGAAACGGACATTTATAGTGAGCCAACACAAAATCGCAAAACGAAAACAGTAGTCCTTCAGTGTCAAAAAGGCCCTTTGTACTAAAAAGCAAATTATTTGTAAGCTTTTGGAAGATGAAGGATGCATGTCAGGCATTAAAGCTGATGTATTTCATATACTGAACATATAAAAGTGAAACCTATTTCGTTATGAAAGGCGATCGACCATGAGAGTTAGTGGAGATGCTGCTAAACTTGAGCTAGTCATTCCAGCAGAAATTTCAAGGAAGATTCTTTATTTAATTAAATAATCAAGAGGTACAAGTTATGGATGGTACAAGTTATGGATATTACATATAAAATTTACATCATACATACGAGTATCGTAGTTTTTCATATTGCATCATCATTGTTTAACCGTTTTCAGATAATCACATGTAGTGCCCATAAGCACACACTTTTGAGCTCAGGTTCCCGTAACTGTTAAAATACTTCATTGTTTGCTATTCTGCAATAAGCAGCCCCCCTTTTTTTGAGTAAAAAACATAAATAGTTATTAATTTATAATCTTCCTTTACAAAAAGTATACTGGTTTATTGAGAATTAATTGGGTTTACATAAAATTAAGACATTGTGTTTACTGTTGATGTTTGGTGGCAGTGGCTTATCATGCCTTTAATTTGTATTTCTAAAATATTTCAATTGTTTGAGTTTTTTGCTTACTTGAATACCAGGTAATTAGGTTTTGCTATATTTTAAATAAACTAAAATATGTGTATTTTGTCTTTCCAAATGACATTTGCATTCCAGTATAACCTTTTCCTGGGGGCTGGAACATATATGTTCACCACATTCACAAGATTAACTAAGGCTTAAAGAAAATTAATTTATTATGAAGATTTAAAATTTGCTACTTAATGCAGAGGAGGAAATGGCTAACCTTGTTGATTTGTTTTTCTGTTCCTTGCTGATTAAATAGTTGACTAAATGGCTTCAGTACGTAAAGAATTAGTCTTTACAGCCAACGTGAAAAGATTAACAGAAAAAAAAAATCAATATATAGGTTATTCCATGGTTAACAATTTTTATTCTTTTAAAAAAAAAAAAAAAAATTTTTTTTTTTCCCCCCCCCCCCCTTAGAAATACTGTATTTTTTTCAGAAAGGGCAGTACTCTTTGATATATATATATATGTGTATCACTTTTTTATCATGTTGATAAAAATATTTTGCAATTTTCCACTCTTGGCAGTAAAGCATTTTCTGATGCTTGATATTAGAGATACATGAACAAAATTTTATTCTTTAATTTTTTCCCATGACATTATCTAATCTGAACCTTAACTCTATGTAATTTTTAATACTTTGGGAATTGAATTGCATTTTAACATTTTCATGAATAGACTAAACAGCGAAAATCCAGTCCCTAGAGCTAGTGTTTTTCTTTATCCTAATTTTATATCATGCAATTATTTTTACTTTGTATTTATTTGTTTAAAAATATTTGAATTATTAGTAAACTTATATGGTTATAATACACTGAAGAGCCCCCAAAAAACTGTTATAGGCACATGTATGCAAATAACAGAGGTATAGAACCAGTCCCAGTAAAGTGTACTGTTCGGCAGCTTCTGTACAAGACAAGTGTTCGGCAAAGTTCATAGATTGGTTACTGCTGCTGCAATGGTATTTTATCAAGATTTAAGTGAGTTTGAATGTGTTGTTATAGTGGTAGCCACAAGAGATGGGGCATAACACGTAAAATTTGGATTTTCGCATATGACCATTTCATGGGAACCGTGAATATTGAGAATCTGGTAAAACATCAGATCTCTGTCATTTCTGCTGTTGGAAAAAGCTCGTGAAAGAACAGGACCAATGACAACTGATGAGAATCAATAAACGTGGCAGATGTGCAACCCTTTCTCAAATTGTTCAGATTTTAATGTATGAACTATTTAATCGTCTATTATTGACATGAGTTTTCACTGCCGAAGGCCCACTTGTGTATCATTTTTGACTGCACAACACAAAGCTTTATGTCTCGCCTGGGCTCACTAACAATGCCGTTGGAATGTTGATTACTGGAAACACGATGCTTGGTCTGGCGACTCTTGTTTCCAATTTTATTGGGCAGATGAACATGTTCAGGTGTAGAGACAACCTCATGAATCCATGGATTCTACATGTTGCAGCTGGTATGAGGCAGATGTAGTTGGCATTTTATAGGACCCTTGTTATGTCTAGATGCGGCTGTGTCAGATGACAGATACGTAAGCATCCTGTCTGATTACCTGCACCCATTCATGCATGTTGTACATTCCGACGAATTTGGACGTTTCCATAAGGACTGTGCGGCACCCCACACGGCGAGAGTTGCTACTGAGTGGCTCCAGGAACACTGTTCTGACTTTGGACATGTCCATTGGCCACCGAGATCCTCAGAGATAGACATTATTGAGCATGTTTGGGATTCTTTGAAACATACTGTTCAGAAGAGATCACAACTACCTCACACTCAAATGTATTTGTGAATTGCCCTGCAAGATTCATGATGTGAATTACCTCCAGCACACTTCTAACAACAGTCAAGGCCATGCCATGTTGTGTTATGGTACTTTTGTGTACTCGCAGGGGCTGTATCAATATTAGGCATGTGTGTCAGTTTTTTTTCCCCTCTTTAGTGTATATATAGCAGTTCTTTTAAAATATATTTTAATGTACCACATAATGTCTTATAAAGTTATACCTTTGTATAATTAATAGTGTAACACTAAGAATACGCAAACCCTTTGCTGTTGGTGATGAAATAACCATGTGTCTAATGAAGAGAGAAAAAGGATCTTTATGTGCAGTTCCAGTGTTTCATCAGAGTTCTGTGTTATCTACTTGCTATGTTCATGATGGTTAGTGTTCTTTATATTATTAGTAACTTAGGAAGTAAACTTATGTATTTTCATAATGCTACAGCTGTATAAATTCTCCAATATTTTAAAAGCTGTGTAACATTCCCCATAAATGATTTCTAAATGTATTTTCATCAAATTGCATTTTTTTTAGATTTGATAATTTTACACTTTATGTACATAAACTGTCACTTATTGTGCCGTATATTTTCTCTCTCTGCCAAATACCAAAAATTACTTTTAATAATTTGTTGCTTGACCTTTTTGTTCTGTACTCATGTAGTAAAAAATGCTATTATTTTATATATTACCGCCGCACATCTTAATGAGGTATATCCATCAGACTAGACTTTTGACAAACAATTGTCCCTTCTTCAGAGGGTATTAAAAGTTTAATTCAATTAGAAATTCATGTTGTATCTTGCTTTAAATAATAAATAACGTAGTCATAGTTTTTCTTTGTGTGTGTATATATATATATATATGTAAATATATTAAAAAGGCAGGCATTAACTTTTCTTTATAATTTTTTTACTCTTTATGGTATGATAACATTACCTTAAACCTTAACTGGAGGTTAATGGAGGATTTTGAAGAGTAAAGGATTATCTTGTAAATATTTATTGTAAAAATTTATAAATATGTATATTTAATCAATACTGGATTCTTTCCTTTTACTAATGAAGGGCCAACTCTTTTCAAAAGTCTCAATTATAGCCCGAATTGAGTGAAGATTTTTATCTTTTTCTAATTTTCCTTACTTTTGGCCAGTATTTAGTAAAGTTTTGATTAAACCAGTTGAAATCCAGTTTTAATAAATTTGGAATATCATAATAAACTTCTTTCTTATAAAATAACATTTAAAAAAATTTTCAAAATTTAAATTAAAATTAGATTTTACTTCAAAATAATTTTATTGGTACTTTTTCTCAAAAACATTTTCAATTTTTACATCCTTAATATTTTACATTCTTCAATAGTTTGCAACATTAACATTTTTTCACATTTCAACGTTACACTTTGCATTTTATAATTTTTTTTTACACATTTTTAAAACAGAACACACATTTTACATTACTTAAACGTTTATAGAATAGGTTTTTAAAATTGATCACAGATATGCTTTGCATTCAACTTAACCTTACATTAGCACCCTCTATTTAAAGTTTGCAGAACACACTACTTAGCATCATTTAGTTTGGCAATGCTTCTCCACATCCAAAAACAAATATAGTTGGAAAGTTAAATTAAAACTTACTACAGTCAAAAGTCTTTAATCTGGACATCCATAATCCAGAATGATCTATAATCCAGACCTCAAAGCTACAAACTTTCTGCGCTTGCATTTATGTGTTTACGCATGTGCATAATACGTTTACGTTACATAATACGTTTACGCGTGCACGCTTAATGTATAATGGCCGGTATTATAAGCTAGGCTAAAATTATCTAATTATCTATTTCAGTTAATGTTGCAGATTGCGTTGTTTCTTAATCTTCTAATTGGATCTGGCTTATTATTTTTTGTAGACTGTTAGAGCAATTTTATAAAAAGTAAGCTTGAACTTTTGATTATGTCAGAAAGAGTTTCCGATTCTGGAGCTGCCAAAGCATCTACAAAACAAAAGCATGTTTTGATGTACCGCTTCCGATAATGAAGAAAGTGACAGAGAGGTTATTGAAAACGAAAAAATTTCGATTGACAAATTAAACGGTATTCTTGACACAGCAATTAGAGGACTTGAACAGCAGAACTTTGTAACTGAACAAGAAATTATGTCTGTTTATAGAATTAAAGAGAAAGTATTAGCACATAAAACGAAGCAACTTAAACAACTTACATTGAAAGAAATGTTTAATAAAGTAAACAAATAAATATAAAGCTTTTTTTTTTTTTTTGGTAAATTTTGATAACCCTTTAGATCATAATTGCTCTTTATTTCATAAATTACAGTTTCATATTTTTAATTTTATAATTTCTGCCTGCCATTTTACCAGATTTAAACTGATGATCTATAATCTGGAAAAACCGATAATCCTGAATCGCCAAAGTCATGACGAGTCCGCATTAAAGACTCTTGATTGTATTTACTTGCCTTTTTAGTATAATTTATTATTTTTTATAGATAATGTCTAGTTTCTTTTTCATTTATATGCATAATTCGTGTCGGGGAAGTTTCTATAAGCAAGAATTTCTAAATTACTTTGGTTTTATACTCTTATTTATTATTTTTTAAATTTAAGTTCTGGTCTTTTAATTGCTGATTTCTCAAAATTCCACTTGTTTAAATTTCTTATTGTAATTCACCACATTTGGTATTACTGTTGCATTTGACTTTTACCCTTGCCTACCTGGATTACGAAACACGAATTGAATGATTGAAGAGTTAGGTTTGGAGGCAACTTTCCCTTGATAAGTCTGTCTCTTGCCTGCTCAACAATCATTCACTTATGCATTTTTATAAAAAAATTTTAGGATTAAATCATTTTTAGAATTTTATATTTATTAATGGATTTTGATACTTGCCCTTGATTTACATATGCTCTCAGAATTTAATTGATATTGTAGATTAGTTCATAACAATAATTAATCATTTATTTGTTTGCATTAAATTTATTAACTTTAATTTGTTTTTTACGAATAGAAAATGTTTATTAAATTCAAATATATGTATGTATGTATGTGTATATCTATTTAATTATTTAATGCAATGCAATTTTTATCTGTCTTAAAAAGTGTATAAAAATTATTTTTTCAGATGATTTTGTCACCCGTTTCCAGAAATTGTTATTGGCAAATAAAAGTGAAATTTATGAGATTATTTCTCGAGAACATTTAGAGTTGGAGACACTCTATCATGAAGAAAAAAATACCCCTGAGGCTTGCTTTATTGAATCTGCATTGCAGGTATAAGTAATTATTTATTATCATTTAAATTTGAGTTGAAAAAAACGGATTTCAGCCTTTTATGAGTCTCCTCCCCTTTTATCAAACTTTTGACTGTATCTCATTTGTAAATATCTTTGAATTTATAGCTTAAATTGATTTTTGAAATAAAGAATTTCCATAACAGAATTTAAATTAATCTGAATAGCTACTTCTATTTTTAAAAGCATTTAAGGTACAGTAAAGCCTTCTAAGATTATTATTAATGGCTCGAGGTGGTTTTAATCTACTCTTGTGATGGTGGGCTTTGTTGATGATATTTAATATATGTATTGAATTATGTTGTTATAAATATGTGGTACTTTTTAAAATGTTTGCTATGAAAGGTTTTAGCATTCTTACTTTATTGTATTGAAATGCTGTAATTCAAAAACAACTCCTGCATTCACTTTTTATTAAAGTTTTATTTAGTTTTTATACATCCAAAGTTTATTAAAAAGGTTTTTGACCTTTCCTTAGAAGAAATGCAATTATTTCTCTCGAGAGATGAAATTTTTCTCCATTTTAAAATAAGACTTTGGGAGTGCACACGCTTCTAATAATAGTCCTTTAATTGGTGGAAGTATTCTTGAATAGTCTGTTTGGTAATAGAGAAAAATTCCTTTAACTTCCTTACAATGTCTGGTTACTCAAATCTGTTATTTTGAGCCTGGGAAAAAACCAGAAATCAGGAGAATAGGTAGCTTGATAAACAACAGAAATATTTTATTTTCCCAAGAAAGCATGAATGGCATGAGAAGAGTAGATGAATGCACATTGTTATGATTTAACTTTTGACATTTCACTGTGCACAGGTCTGATCATTTGTGCTAGGCAGCATTGCAAATATAATAGACAGTCTCTTGAGTAGTAATAATTTGGCCTAGTAGTGAGTAATGTAGGATACATCGTCATAAGCAAAAGAAAATATTTGGTATCATAAGCAAAAGATATTTGTTAATTATGTAATATGATATTTAAGCTGTTTTTAGTATTACATTACTGAGTGATCACTTATGAAAATACAGTTGTTGGTCTGGTCCTGGTGTTTCAGTGATTCCACCAGATGTTCATCATTTGATTTTAGGCAAGATTTCAAGGTACAAGTTTAAACTAATATAGAATAAAGAGATCAATATATAGCCAAGAAAATAACATCGAAATTTCATTTCAAACAATTCCTTTTATAGCCTAATAAAAAACTAGAAGATTTTTTTGAAAAATGAAAATCTTTAAAAACTAAACATGACTAAAATGTATGAACTGGTTTCTATTGTGTTGTCATCTAGTGTAAATATAGAAGGCTTAAAATAGCCTCTTGTAACGTATAAAGCCTTTTCCATTAAATTTTTCTGTGTGTACAGAGATAATTTTTCGGGGCACACTGAGCCAGAAAGGTTTATATCAGTTCTTGTATCTTAATTTGTAATAATTGAAAAAAATTATCTCAGTTATGTCATGGTTAAAAAATTTACTAAAATTATATTTTAAAGATGAAACAGGGTTCGCATGGTTCTTAAGAGTCTTTAAAAGTCCTTAGGTTTTTTTGGAGTTGATTTTTGGTCCTTAAAAGTCCTAATTTTTGCCCAAATCAGCAGAAGGTCGTTAAATTTAATAATCTGAAATTTGTCTGTTTTTATGATTGCCATTTTGAGTGTGAATTAGAATTTTGGAGGAATATTTTTTGGCGATTCACTGACATATATGGTTATTACTTCCTTGTATGAAGTAAAAAGGAAGTATTGTAATCACGAAAAGTTTCAGGCAGCATATATCAACGAAAATATCCATTTTGACCGCTATCGAATGCAATCTTAACGATGTTTTTTCTTGCGTGGGTATCTGTACGTATGGACAGAATAAAAGGACTCTTTTCCTGCCAAAAAGGACTTATAAAACTTGGATTTAAAATGGGATTCATGAAGAGAATCTTTTCGTTGACGTTTGTATGTACGTATGTATGTATCTCGCATAACTCAAAAACGCGTAGCCATAAAACGTTTGAAATGTTGTATATAGGGACTTGCTATAACATGTAGCTGTGGACCTCGTCCTTTTTGTTGCAATCGGCCGCACCAAACGTATATAAATATATTTATATATATATATCCACTCTGTTACCCGGCTCAGAGATCTCAGTTTCTTTACTCTTATATGTCTTATATGTTTGTAAATTGTACATTTTTTGCTTTAAAAATGACTGAATTGTGTTGTTCTTATCTTCCGGTTAAGTTTTTATGCCTTTAGTAAATCTGTATGCAATATTTTTAGAATTATCAACAATTTTAAAGTTGTTTAAGTGTCGCTAAGCCTAATAATTTTTTTGATGGCGGCCATTGCTTGTTTACATTTGAAAGAGAATAGTAGATTTGTTGCCAATCTAGAGAAACTAAGCTTCGCAACAACAAAGATAACGCCTTCATTTATTATTGTGAGTTAAATCATGCTTAATCCTTTCTGGAATTTTTTCGAACAAATAAGTGTTTAAGATTTACTTCGTAATTTTTAATACAGATATTTTGAGTTTTTATATATTCGCCTTGTTCGACTTCGCCTTGTCGGGAAGTGAGAACTGAATTAATTGAATGAGAAATACTGAATTGTCTATGAAAAACTTTTTCTTTTTTGTTTTGTTTGCTTAATTTCTTTTATACGTCGTTCTAGCTTTATTATAGTATTTGAATAGAACATGTGGCAACGATTAGATAATTCTTTAAATGATATAAATTTTGTGCATTCTGAGTTATAATGTGAACGAAATATAATACTGTTAAGCTCCAAAGTGTCGCTATGGTAAACAAATAGAGTGAATTTTAAAGAATGCATTTATTCTATTGTAGTTTATGCGCTGTCGACAAAGTAGATTTAATTCAATCCAATAAGTTTAGATGAAATGCAAGAAAAAATGCATATAATTTAATATTCCGTACAAGGAAATCGTGGTGTACACATCAGATTTTCCTTTGAATGCGTTCATGGGTTATAATTTGTTTCTATTTCTAATATAAATAATGGGATACTCAAGTTTCTAAGCAAGAAGTGAAACATAAGCATTTCAAAATTAATTTTTTCTAATAAAGAGCTCTTAAACACTTTTTCGCTTTTAGGGATGTGAATTCTTTTATTAAACGGCTCTAAATTTGGTGACTTATCAACATGTTGGTGATTTTAAGATCAATTTCAGTAGAAAATTTTTAATTCCAAGACCTAGGAATTTTTTAATGATTTTTTAAAACACTGTAACATTGATAAATCCAAGATTCTAAAAGATTCGAGAAATATGTGACAAAATGAAAAATGTCTCCATAGTATCAACATGTAATGGATGTATTTTACAGAAAGTTTGTGATGAATTTCTTACTTTTTGGAGAACATCTGGAAGAGCAATGAAAACATAATATTTTAATGTTTTATTTCTGATACTAGACGTCTTTTTCTTACCTTTATTTTCTCTAATTTTCACAGGACAAGCATGGAAAATGTCAAAAATGCTCCTGATCTGCTCGCATGGGCAAGCATTATAGAAAGGGATTTTTTTTAATTAATAAAGAAATTGAAAACTGACAATTTAAAAGATTCATCTAATATGTTGTAATGCATCATACACAGAGCTGGCACTAGGCATTTCCTCACAATCTCTGTGGATCCTAATTATTCTGACTAGTACCTTTCTAAATTCTAAAATTTTTGCCATTTTTAGATTTTGTCGTTCGGTGTGGGACTAAATTCTAAAAATTCTGCCACACCAGCTCTGTAACTGACCTGCTTTACCATATATATTTCATTTCTTCTGAATGTTCATATTACTAAAGAAATAAAATTCTAAATTCATTTAGTGGTTTTTAGAATGACAGAAATCCTTAATTAAATCCAAAAATTCTAAAATAAAAAGAAATATGTTGATAAAACAAACTGGAATACATAAAGAAAATTATTCTTCAAAGATATGTGCAGTTATTATTTTGTAAATTATCCAATTGTTTATGATTTCGGCCTTTAGTATAATTTCCCATTTCTTTTTCCTCATATGATAGAGTTATTGAGCCAGATAAAATTAAATTGTATAATCTTTGACCACTAGTCCACATTTTTAGTTTGAATTTGACTGTTTTTGTTTAATTAGGACACCATGAGCTGTAATTGATTTTGTTAGCATCAGAACCTGCCTTTATATTCTAAGTTCTTTATAAATAAGAGGCTTATTTAAACCTTTGTTTGATATTGTAGTTACTTTCAGACATAGTGATAATTTGCTTCACGTCTGTCGGGGGTTTTAGACTATTTAACTTTTAACAGATCGAGTAAACTCTCATAGGTACATTGTGAAGGGGTTGACAAGTTAGGAGATAAAGCATGCAGAAACTAGTGTGAACATTGGTCTCTCATAAGACAAGTTGCAGTAGTGACAACATTCATTATTTTATGAATCATGCTGATTATGATCTTGCTTCTCCTTTTAACCTTTGCTGTTTGACATAAAAATCTACCTGCTACTTACTAAATCTCTAGACTAACCAAGTATGTGACAAAATGAGACATTAAAAAAAAATAAATAAATAAATAAACGTAAAGCTATAGTGTTAGTAAAACTTAAATGTCACTTATCTTCTTTCAAATATGTCCAACTACGAGGGCCATCCAGGAAGTAGATTACGTTTCTGTCTGTGTCCGCTAGGGGCGGGGCTAGCGCGGCCATCTTGGGGTCAGAGCGTTGCGCAGCTCAGTCTGCATCTAGCCGTGCTAGTGACAGGTTCGTGCTGTGCTCCGTTCAGATACTGTGACGGTTTGAAATGTCTGCGTTAATTGAAAATCCCGCGAGCTGCGAGGTGCGCTCAGTAATAAGGTTTCTGACTGCAAAAAACTGTAAACCGATAGAAATCTATCGGCAGCTTCGTGAAGTGTATGGGGACAACATTATCACTGAAGGTGGAGTGCGTCAGTAGGTCATAAGATTTCAAAATGGCCGAACCAATGTTCACGACGAAGATCGAAGTGGGAGACCCAGCATAGTGACCGCCGAACTTCTCGAAAAAGTCGATGCTAAAGTCCGTGAAAATCGAAATTTCACAATAATGGAACTTTTCTTTGAGTTTTCCACAAATTTCGCGAAGTTTGTTGCACGAAATCATCAGCGAAAAGCTTGGTTACCACAAGTTTTGTGCAAGATGGGAAGGCAAGAAGAGGTAACGAAGTGGTTGAAGGCGCAGGCGGCCGAATTTTTCGACGAAGGAATTTCCAAGCTCGTACATCGCTACGATAAATGCCTTAATTTGTATGGTGACTATGTAGAAAAGTAGTATTTGAGTGTGGCTTTCATCTGTATATAATAAAATTTGTTTCCTATACTTTGTTTATTTTTTTATTCCAAAACGTAATCTACTTTCTGGATAGCCCTCGTATTATAAGTGTAAAATATTAAATGCTACTTGATAAATTGCATAAAGTTTATTTTATTCTCAAACTTATTAAGCATTATGCTAATTAATTCATGTTTAGTAATAATGCATACTACTTAGGGATCTATTTTATTTTTAGTATGGTATTACAAAAGTGAAATTCAGGCATAGATAATATTTTTAATTGAATTTATTCAGTTCCCATTTGCTCATAGGTCCTTAATTTTTTCATTAACCTTTTGCGCTACAATGAAACAAGCGGTAAAGTGTCTCGTTTATGCTGCTCCACGTCTGTGAGTGTAATCCAGAGCTGTAACTCGAGGAATAAACAATCTCGTTGTTAGGCAATGTGTGCACCACATTATTTTAATTTTTGGGATAAATGCCTATCGATGTGGTGTTCACGTCGCTTGTGGTTTGAGACAAAAGCATCTTGACGTGCTTGGCACGTCTTTTTAGTGCAAGTGGTTAATGATCTTTAAATATACTTAATTTCCGTGTGCAGAAATGTGTACGAACCCTGTTGAAAACAAGATTACTTTTTTTGAAAAAAAGAAAGTCCTCCAGTGAAAATTTCCTTTAACAACCAAAAAAGTTTTTAAATAATAGCTGTGAATTTGCATAAGATTTTTTTCTTAATGTATCAGATTTTGATATTGCTTAAAAATTAAAATTAAGTTATGTTATTCAATTTAAATATTGAAAAATGTAAAACCTTATTTATAATTATAATTACAATGGTTTTTATAGCTTTTGGATGAAAGGCAAGGACAGTTAAATGATGATTATGGCGTAAATGATGTTGGAAGTGTTATGAAAACTGATTTACCTGAAGAAAATGCGATTGTTGCTGTAAGCTGAAAAATTTTAAATTATGCCTATTTTCCTTAAAAAATGTTTAAAATGCATTTTTAATGTTTGAGAAGTATAATACAGTAATTAACAAAATGCTGTTTTATTTTATGTGTATTTATAATATGCATATTTAAGTATTTTTATACAGATATTACAATTATATTTAATAAAACCAGGTTTCAAGTTGTATTTTAGAAATTCCTAAAAGTCAGTTAATAGCAAAAATATAATAATAATAATAATAATAATAATAGATAATTATAGTAATATTTTGTTATTCAAAATAAAATAATTCTGATTGCTGCTTTGTAATCTCCGATTATTTTTGACGATGCAGAATTCCACATCAAATTATTAGCACTTTAAGTGCATGTATAAAGTATGCTCATTAATATTTAAATTTTTATTTATATAGTATTCTGTATGGCTTTTCTGTCAAAAATATGTTATTAAACTTCGCCTCCCCTCTTGTTTTATCCAAAATGGGTGTTAACCCAGAATTATTATTCTCTAAATAGCATTTTGCGTCAAATCACTTTTCAAATTATTGCCACCATAAATCATGATACCATTAATCATGAAAAATCTACATGAATGTATATATGTGTCTCGCATTGTGGGAGGGGTGGAAAAGTCAACTAGAGTAGTCTCCCCCTGGGGTGCAACTGGCTGGATCCTATATCCTGACAGAGTACTCTGGGGGAAAAGCATTTTGAGTTTGGCGGTTCCAGAACCTGAGGGAAGGTCGTTTATACGGCCGGACCAAGGGGGATTGCATAAGTCCCAGAACCGGAGGAGCTGGTAGCGTAGTCAGTCTGCGTTTTCTGGGTAATGACCTTCGGTGACGGGCAGCCGCGTAGTACTGGCAGGGGCGCTTCCACGGCCGGTCAGATCGCCAAATTGACAAAGGTCTGTAGAGGTCCTCCCTCCGGGGTGGTCTCCGAGACCCGTGGTGTGTAAGCATCTGGTGGCCCGGTTCAGCCCCGGAAGACATGAGAGAGTTTTCTAAAAAGTCTGCGCAGGGATTTGAGGCACCCCGGCGTAGCAAAAGTACTAGTTTTAATCTCTTTAAGAGGTCTACGCGGACACGTCCGGCCCTCCCGCCTGATACGGAGGTTGATTTCGGGTGTCACCCTAGTTGCATAACTGTTTGCAGGAAGGGTTAGAAATTTTGATTGATTGAACTAGAGTAGTCAAATTTTGAATAACATAGTCCTCCATCTGAACATGGACACCTGGAAGCCCGAATTGTTTTTATTGTCTATTCCATAATTTATAAAACTTTAACAAATTTTTGATTAAAAACTCAACAATTTCAAAGCAAGCTGTGTCAACACTGTAGGGAATAAGACATTTTTATCTCCAGCATGCAAGACTGTCTATTGGAAATTCTAAAGATATGCTATTTTTAAACATTTTTAGCACAATGTGGCATCAAATCTGAAAGCCTTTCCCCCCCCCTTTTTTTAAAGTATCTCTGGTGCAAATACTTGGTAACATTTATGCTATATAGATACTTTTTTCGGGTTTAAGGTATATTAGTTTAGACTAATTGACAATTTAAAATTTGTAAGGATAATTATGCATGGTATTCAATAAACATGAACAATTTCATTATTAGCCCAGAAGGGGCTTTTAGTCTTGAAATGGGATATTGCATTGGTCATTACAAATGATATGTCAGTTTTCAAATTGTTACCACTAAATATTATCCCTGTGTATTATTTGTAAAGAAATTAAATGTACATATTTTATGTTTCTCATGTTGTGAAAAAATGATGGTACGTAGAGCCATCAAATTTTGAATAACATACTCCACCCAAACGTGTGCACCTGGAAGACTGAATTTAATTTATTTTTTATTTAATATTTTGTATAAATTTTATGAATTTTTGGTTAACAAACTCAACAATTTGAATGCAAGCAGTGATAACACTGTTCGAACCAAAACATTTTTTTGAAAATCTGAGATATTTATCTTTACATTTTAATTAACAAACTAGGTTGTATGAAAGCAGTGTGTTGCAGTGGCCGGAAACAAAATATTTTTATGATCCAAGCACAAGCTTGTTGCCATTCAGTAAAGCCTAAGATACTTTCAAATTTAATATGGAAGTTACTGAGAATAAACTAAGTGATTTAAAAGCAAAAAACGCAGTTCTTGAGCATATTTTTTCTTCTTTTTAATATGATTGATTTGAATAAACATGTGTTAAAATGAGTTGTATAATTAGAAATATTCAACATTTTTATGAAATTATGGTAGCTGGAGGCATTAAAATGACTGTATATGTTTTCTTTTTTATGATAACTCTTTTAGCTGGCTAGTTTTCAAAGAAATAACATACTGAATATATAGGGATGTAAGGCAGTCTCTAACACTCTATTGGTAATTCTAAAGATTCATTGTTTTTTAAATATTTTGTGATGGCCTGAATTTTATGTGGTGCAAGGAACATATAATAATTTAAGAAGTAAATATAATAATTTTTTTGTTAGCCATTTTACAAAGAAAACTTAATATTGATATGTTGAACTGAGAAAAGACTGAAAAATATAAAAATGTATGTCAATGCTTAATATATTGCATTGAAAATTCTAGAGAATTTTAAATATGTGCTTCTATGCAGCTTTTAAAAATTATGATTTTGTTGGTTGAGCTGTATGTGGCATAAGTGCGAAGAAGGTGGTGCTTAATAATAAAGCTGAAAAGATCGCCCCAAGATTTCTTAGCAGCATTGAGTGCAAGAACAGATTAATAGACAGAAAACTCAGCTGGAGTGTAAAAACTTGTAACAAAACCTTTTGAGCGACTGTTAAAATCTGGTACCTTTCAGATTTTTCTATAAATTATTATTTATATATATGTACTTTTATTTATTTTATTTATTTACTTATTTTTGAGAGAGAAATTGCTATTTTGCAGGCAAATGCTTCCCCACAAAGTCGCCTAACCTCACTTAGTTCAACTGATTTTCAAGAGGAAATTTTTTATATGGGTAAACATTGTACTTTTTTTTTTTTTTTTCCCAATATATGTGTTTATTATTTAGGATTGCAAGATGTTAACAATTCCAGGAACTTTTAAATTTTTCCTCCTAGAACTGAATGATAATACATCACAGATAGATAATTCCTCAAATTCATCAGTTAATGAAACACCCCATGAAGAAACAGGAAGAAAAGGAAGTAATTATTTTTATCAAGGTACTTATGTTTTTTATATTACTTATGCATTGTTTATGTAAATTGTCTGTTTCTCTGCAAATGAATATGTCAAAATTTTGAAATGCTTTACATACAAATAAATCGCAAATAGTTCATTACACTGCTTCAAAAAAACTCTTATAAATTTTTTAATCTGTTATGGTCTCTTCATTATACATTTATGAATAATGAGTCTGTATTGTGTGTGTGTAAGATTAAAGGTGAATATTATGAATGAAACCTAATATATATAAAAATTTTAGTTATATATTTACCTGCATTAATTGTTCATTCCTAAGTATTCTGTTTGGTACATGAAGGTGTATCATCAGATACTTATTGTTGTCTGTATTTTGTGTATATTACATGCATTTTAAACATAATCATCTAGATTAATCTTTATCTAAAATACTGTTGCACATCTATGCATATATGAAAGGGAATAAAATGACCGAATTAATTTGAGATTTACATTTTTTAGTGTATTGCTTGAATCTTGTGAAACTGGTAAATTTTAAAAAAAAAGAAGAAGAAATTGGTCAATTAATAATGTCATCCATAAGGTTAAAAGCTGTCTACTTCACCCCAAGATGACTTTTCAAAAAGTGAAAAGTAAACAAATATGAATGAAAAGGGCTGTGAAAAATTGTAGCTGAATGTATTTTAATGGATATTTGTAAATAGCTGTGAGTCTGCTATAATTAACCAAAAAGTGCCATAAATATGCCATAAAAGGAAAAACGTTGAAGCAGTTTGATTTAGCATAGCAAGGAATATAATCTCTGGTGATGTGTAAAAAAACATTACCTTAACCTCACCTGAAAAAAAAATTCTGAAACCGATAATTTCTTAACTGATCAGCTGGATGAAAGTAGTGACATTATCTATTCAAACATTATTTTTGCATACCACAGGGGCTGTCTACGATTGGCTTTTTGCATTGGTGTAATCAGAATTGTGAGTCTGCTCTTTTTTTCTTTTTTTTAAATTTAATGTCCAAATGGGCAATTTGCTCAGAATGTCTGTTAATTTCGTTTTGGCATTTTGCATCAACTGACAATAAGCATTGTTCACTTTTCAGATTGTTGCCACCAAATATTATTACACTGTAATATATTAAAAGAAATTAAATAATTAAGAGTCTGCATGTATATTTCTCGCACTGTGATAAAACAACAGTATCTAGAGCAATCAAAATTTCAATAACATAATCTTCCATAGAATATGGACATCTGGAAGCCCTAATTTGTTTGTTTTATTATCGATAACACTTCAACGAATTTTTCATTAACAAACTAAACAATTTCAAAGCAAGCAATGGCAACATTGTACGGGAGGGAGGAACATTTTTATCTCCAGCGCATGAGACTCTGTATCGTAAATTCTAAAGATATGCTGATTTTAAAATTATTTGGGGATATTGCTGTAGAACTGAGTTTTATGGTTTTAGTACGTAGAACATAATACTTAATGAATAAAGGTACACGCAAAACATTAAAAAAAGCCCCTTTAGACGTAATTTAAAATCTGAAATCTTTTTTATTTATTTTTTATTTTATTTATTTAATTTTTTTTTTTTTTTTTTTTCCTGTGAGCAGGTGTTTTAGCATTAGCATCTGTTATTGAATCTGATAGGGGCATTGAAATAACATGTTTCATCTGCAGTATATTTATAAATTTTACTTTTTTAATGAAACTTCAGAAAAGAACTTCTTTATGGCTTCTATAAAATCAAAAGTTTTTCAGAGGTATATCAATCTTGTGAATTCTGTGGCTTATATACATATAAACAAGGCATTGATTTGAAAATCTTGCAATCTTTCTCAATTTTCTTGTTCTTTGAAAAATCTTGCATCTTGTGAATAAGATCAGTCCAGAAACAAAAATTCTTTTTTCTGGTTTCAGTATAAACTACTAATAGAATACTTCTATTTAAAGCTGCTGCAAAGTTTTCCTTTCAGTAGAAGCTTTGTTTGTATCACTATGGTATCTCCTCTTGAGTGAAGGTTCATATAATTTGAACCATAAGAATATTTCACCTTCTCAGAAATAAAAAAACTGTGATTAAATCTTCACAAGATCCTTCTGACTCACTCACAAAATTCACTTATTTTGTCTGTTACAAATTTTGCCATTTTACATGCTACCCCAAAATTCATATAAATAGTATTCCATTCTATCTCATTGTATTGAATTTAGGCACTGCCTCATACCCATTGGCTATTTAGTTTCTAGATTCTCAGCTTTACTAGTTGATAATGCTTATACTATAAAAATGTGATAGCATTTGTAAATAAAAAAAAAAAATTCCTAGAAATTTTTATCATGGTTTCTTTTGATGTTAATTCAGTATTCACCTGTGTTCTTGTTGAAGTGTATCTGAATGTCTAGAAACTAGGCTTAAAGAATTTAATTTTAACCATTAATTTTTCAGTCATCAGTAACAGCCGTAAACCTTTGGATTGGTTAAGCTGAAAAATGTGTGAAATTCATGCTAAATGAGACTCCTTGAATTAAAAGACAGTTTGTAATTCATTCTAACTAAACTTTGCATTAACTGATAAAACTTCCTCTAAGATTATATACATCGCTGGTGGGACCAATATTTTGTTCATGTCAACCAAGTGCTCGTCTGAAGCAAGTTCGTGTTAAAGAGGGTTACTGTAAAGGATTTAATAGTCATTTCCTATCTTCCCATCTCTAGCTAAAACAATTGCACATATTTTACACACATTAAGCTTTCATATTGTTTTTTTTCCTCGAACCAATAAAATTCACAGTTCCCTTCTTAGAGACCACATTCTGGACTCTTAAGGGTATATGTGCAGTATTCCTTATCATTGTGGTTTAATATCTGTGGGCCATGAAATTTCCCACTAAGTAGCATGTTGGGTTGGGGAGTTCATAATTCTGTAGCCCAACATTTTTGGTTAAAAAATCACAACCAAAAAATTTTTTTTTTAAATTTTCTCTCTTTGGCTAAAATTATATTTTTTAGAGGCGTTTCATCATAAACATTTTTCATTTGCAGTCAGTGATCTAAATTCCAATCCATCTTTTTCTGTAATACCAGTATATTATCTTACGACTGAAAAATTGAGTTGCTAAGAAATCTGTAAAAAGATTTAAAATAGTTGTAAATATGGCTTAATATTTGTGGTGCTATTTTTATGTGATGAAAAGTATATAATTAGACCTTAAAACCAGTAATAAAATAAACTGAAACACTGGACAAAATAAAAATAATAAAAAATGCTGGTATGAAGCTTACTGGAAAGCAAAATTTAGAACTTGGATTTCATTGCAGTTCCTTTTTTTTTTTTTTTTTTTTTTCTAAATTATAAAATTATATAAAAATTGTGAGTATCCAACTTTAGGATACTCCTCTTGAATACTGTCAGCATGAGAGGTTAATTACTGACCAGTTTTCTTCTAGAATACAAAAAATTATTTGGGATTTACAGCAAAATTATTTATAATTTACTGGAGTCTTTTACACTTTTATTTTGGGGATGGGAGATAGATAATCAAATTTCAATTAACTGTTTTAAATACAACACATTTTTCTTGGTATTGTACATCAACAAACATGAATACTAGAAAGTAACATGGTTGCCACGCTAACTGGAAAACTGTAATATGTCAGGGACTTCAAATATTTTAGTCAAAATCTGGAAAAGTCAGGGAATTTCATACGGCGATCCCCCTTCCCCTAGAAAGCGAGTTTTGTGCCGACGTGGAAGTGATCACTTTCTTGGCGAATTGTGTATCGTGTGAGCGTCATTCGGGCAGCTGGCATACAGCCAATTTTTGAAGCTGCAATTAGATTTGTCTTTTCGAAAGACAAAGCAAGTTTCGAGCAACTTTGGTTTCCAGTAAACTCGAGAATCGCATGCGCAGTGCATGTTGAACTAAACAAAATATTTATTCCTGTATAAAACAAAATCAGTTTAATCCTAGTAAACGGTACTATGAAAGTTAGAATCAAAGAATATGTATTGTCAAGGAGGAAAACTTCTCTGTTCGAACGTAGAGGGAAACAGCTGTGCATGCGCGAAATATCTGTCGCCAAAGCTCGAAGCTGGTGTCAACATAAAATTAATATCGTTTAAAATTTCTTTAAATTTTAAAGGAAAAGAAAATATTTTTTCACACAATTAAATAAATTAATGGATTAGTTATTTTGAGGGGGGGGAACTACGAAAATCCGTATATAAATTATTGTGAAAAATCAAAGAAGAAACGTTCTGTCAAAGAATGTTTCTTCTTAACATGTATTCCTCAACGTCTATGGAAACCTTTCCTTCTTTACATAGACGCTCTTTGGTTAAAATAATCTCCATATATTTTATTCTAACCTCCATGTACGGTACACACGGGATTTGGCGACATTATGATAAGCAGTAAACAGGTCATTTTGGTGTTAGCGACAGTTTTCAAAGTCCTACCAAAGCCTTACCGTATACTAGGATTTTAGTACAAAATCTTTTAAACCTTTTCTTTTTAATAAATGCCTTGTTTGTCATTTTGCAGTAAAGTAAAAAAATAATAATCAATTAACTAGGCTAACCATTAAATATACAATTAATTAATTAATCATTAATATTTGCTGAAATATTGATTATTCTAATTCGATTTTTAAGTAATAATCTTTATTTTTATGTTATTCATAACATTTAATGTTGCTTCTTCCCTCTAAATTTATTATTAGTAAATAATACTTTCAAATTTCAAGAAATTTTCTCTGCCATAATCCTAAAATTAATTCTAGCAGTATGATGACATACCATCACGAAATTTAATGCACATATTTTTTGCTTATGTATGTTGCTGAATAAATATAAAATACCTGAATTTATTTTAAAATATTAAGTATATTTCTTTCTTTCTCGTAGCTGCAAAATGTCTGCAAAGAAAGACATTTTTTAATCCAGATTGGGAGCATTCTAATCTCAATCTTCAGTGGAGGAAACAATTCCTATTATAATTAAAATAGTAATACGTTGGAAATTATATATATATATAAGTCATATGTAATTGGCAAATTTTTGTGTTTTCAAGTAATACCATAATTAATTTACCTCTTAGCACAGCCAATGTGCATTATGCAGATAGACTGGAATTTTCTTGGAAACGCACCTGGAAAAGTCAGGGAATTTCATTCTCCTGTTTGAGTGGCAACCCTGAAGTAATTTTGTGAAAAAAGCTTTAAGGTTTTCTGTTCAATATAATAAAGTCTCTTGTTTTTATTATAAAATACATATTCTAGTTCTGAAAAATGAAACAGTGGGTAAAATGTGGTTTTAGGGAAGGGGGGGAAAAAAAAAAAAGACCGAAAAATTGGAAATGACTGGTTTGTGAACTAAGTGATTTAGTATTTTTCTTACTGTGTTAATTAAAATAAAGTTTAGCTTGTAAATATTATCATATATATCTGAACAGTTTAGAAGAGCCTTAAATTTACCGAAGAGCACTAAACCTGAGCTACCTGTTAATTTAATTCCCCTTTTTTTTTAATGTAATCAACTGTTGCAATTGATACCTGTTTTTTTACTTACAGCCGAAGATGGGCAGCATATTTATCTACATAATATCAATGTACGCATGCTTCTAAAGGAACATGGATCCTTAGAATATGCACCACCTATGGTAAAAGCAAAAATTGTAGAAATTGAAAGAGTGTCTATGACAGAGGTAATCTATGATCTGTTCCATCTTTGATTATTATAAATCTGAATTTGATTGATATTTGCTCTTGAGACAATTATCAGTACAGGAGAAAGTGAAAAGTAGTTTTTAAATTTTCTGTTAAATGCTACAGATTTTTCTTATTATTAAACCCTTTTTCATCTCTTAAAAAGGGATTGTGTTTAATTCAGTGATGCCTAATTTGAGGTCATGTAATCAATCTTGATCATAGATCATGGCATTTCTTATTCCGAGATGTACACATAGTTAACAGAAAGCATTATTTTTGATTAAATATTCTGTTCTTTGAACACTTTAAAAAAAATTCTTTGGCTTGTTCAACTCACATTTAAATTATGAGTATAGCATCATTGCTAATAGCAGAACATGTAAATCCAAACTTTACCTGTAACCTTCAAAATGTTATGATCCATCTCATAACTTACTTTTCTTTTGAACTTACTTTTTTGAAAAATTCTTGAATCATGACACCTTGCAGTTTATATTGCATAACTGGCTCTTAATGGCCTTCACTGAGATTTATCAGTATATTGAAATATCTTATATTGCTTTTGTTTAAAATCATTTATGAGATATTGAGGAACTGTTACTTATTTTGAATGAGATCATCTATCCCAGTTTTGTGACACTTAAGTATAAATGAAGTAAACACGTCTAAAAATTTTGTGGGAGCAAAAATTTTTGGAAGTATTAAAGTACATGAAGATATCTTAAATTATATCATTTTTGTTCCAGTAGGCCACTGATAAAAAACTGCCAATATAGATGTTAACATGACAATATAAAAGTAACCGCATTTAGCTTCCTGCAAAATGTTGTATATTACTAGAAAATCAGTAACAGCATGCATTAGATTTTTCCAATATAGTTATAACCCTTATAAGTATATTCCTTTTTCTTTTGCATTACAGTTACTTTTATAGCATTCAGCCCCTTTTCCCCAAATAGCATTATTCAAGTTTCTATTTAAGACATAAATTATTCGAAATGATTCTCATTTCAGTAATAACTCTGGCAACTGGAAAAATTATGTGATAACTGAACTTTATCTCAATATAAGATTTTTTTTAATCTAGAGTTAAAAATAAATATATACTAATAATAAAATAAATTTTAAAATATGGACTCATCTTGTTTGTTCTGAATTTGATAATTTTATTTTTATCTTTTTTAGGTTTTGCGTAAAAGGCTGCGTTATTTACAACATCTGCCATTAACATGTGAATTTCAGATTGTTGAACTGAATTTCTCTCAGATTCTTTCAAAACCAACAATATAGCATTATTTGAAGGTGATATATTTCAATATAAATATATGATTAGTTAATGAAAAAAGAAAATATGTTGTATTGGCAAAAATAAAAATTGTTATTCTTTAATGCTAATTGTAAACATTTAAAATATCTTACGCATATTTTTAGTCTGATGAATGAGTTAGGTATTAGATTTTATGTTCAGAATATTAAACCTAACTACTGTTTATAATGTCTTGCAGGCACGTAGTGTCAAGAAAATATCCTTTTTTAGATGTAAAGAGATTTACATTTTGGTTTCAGCATTACAGCTAATTTTTTTTTAAAATTTTGTTAGCAATATTTAAAAATAATCTTTAGAAATATTCTAATTTTCATCTAAAAAATAAAAGTAACTTCGACAGATTGCACAGTAGTAGAAGCAGTAGCAATTGAAATATATCGGGTTTTAATATATATCGGGTTTTCTATAAGCATAATAAGTAACCTTGAGTGTGTAATTTTTTGTAATTTAAATAAAGTAAATACAGTATATTGTAAAACTCTTTTCCATTTGTATAGCTAGTTCTTAATACTTTGTTTCAAATGGTATTTTTCCCATTTTTATTATTTCAGATTTTTGAAAATTCATACTTTCCATTGCTCATATAATTCCATAAATTATTTAAATAGCTTCATAATCAAGGAAGATTTTATTATATCCTCATGCATACTCTATGAGAATATTTAGGTATTCATATTTGCTAGCTTAGCTTGTGTTATTTATTTTTTGCAATGTATTTACTGTGGGTCTGCTTTATTAGAAGTAAAAATTTTATATTTACTAAATCATTTGAAAAGTATAAACTCACTAGCCTTAAAATATAACTATTGTGTTAGGAAGATGGTTAGGTTATTCGAATATGGAAAAACACATTAAGGCTGTATACCTAAAGAAAAAGATGCCCTTGGGGAGGACTTTGTAAGAGAAAGTGTCTCTATCATATCACATTATGCATGGGGTAGGCCACAAAAACCAACCATGCAGCTATGCTCTCTGCTGAGGATTAAACCGGAGTCAGACTCTCACTACTCTGTGGTCCCATATGGTCTCACCAGTGGCTAGACCATATGGGAAACAGTAGAACTAGAAGCATGTTAACTGAAAAAGAATTTTATAATTATTTTGCTGTCAACATGCTTCTAGTTTAAATGTTAACATGCCTGTTATCTTCTAGTTACCTGCTATCTTCTAGTTAATATGCTTCTAGCTAACAAGCTTGAATTTGTAATTCATAATTGCGTGACTTATAAGTGCAAAATGTTTGTGAATATTTCTGTGAGAAGTTTTCATACATCATATAGACATGCAGCATTATTCAAGGATTATTGATTAGGAATAAAATCCCAAATGTGTATATGGCTGTAATTCAAGAAAGTATTTGTAAACTGTGTATGTGTATGCATTTTATTTTAATGAATTGTAATATGGAATCTCTTTAAAGGTGAAGTCAATAAAAGAAGAATTTTACGAAACAGGAAAGCTCGAGATGAAAGGAGGAGGGAAAAATACATTCAGGTAGAAGAAAATAAGAAGTTGGGGAAATGTGAGTAAATTATTCATGTCTCTGTACAAAGAAATCTGTAGAATTGTTTGATTGTAGATATAAAGTTCTTTTTTTATTATTATTACTTTATGACAATATTTCTTATACACTGCACTGGATTTCACATAAAAATGGAAAAATTTAGTATATTCAGTGCAAAATAAATTATTAAATTTTGAAAATGTGTAGATCCAAAGTAAAACATAGATATTTGGAAGTGTGCATTTTTTTTTTTTTTTTTTTTTTTTTTTTCCCTCCTAAAATTAATGAAAAGCTAAATAACAAGGAAGGTGACATGTACTTGAGTTTGCATGTTTAAGGCCCATTCAATCCAAAGTGATCAGCAGCATTTCCACTCACTTGAAAAGTCAGAAAAAATAAACTTTTTTCTGATAGTCACAGAAAACCTGGAACTTTTTCTAAAAAATTAGAAAATCTTAACAAGAAGGAAATAAGCTAGCAAATAAAAAGTTATCGTAATCTTGTTTTTCTAGGATATACACAGCTCATGTCTGGAAACAGCTTTATCAATCTATATTTGCTAGTGAACTGCTTAGCATTGTTCTGTCACCTCTCTTGTTTGAAGTTGCTCTATTGTGGAGCAGTCTGTTGTAATAAAGAACTATATTAATAAAACATGCCTTTCAACTCAATATAATGCTTATATGTATCACTCCAAGAGTTATGGACATAAGATTCTGTACAGAAGGAAGATTTGCTAATTCGTAACACACGAAAATTTCTGCCAGCTACTGATGAGTTGTACTTGGGGTTGGATATGTATTATAAGAAAAGAAATCAAGGTACAAAATGAAAGGGTTAATTTTGAATTATAGTTTTAAAAAAATACCACTTATTCATAGTATATTTTAAAGAAGCATCAAGATTTCAGGGCAAAACCCATAATGCTAAGAGGGGTAGTTTTATTTTTAAACAGCATAAAAAATATTTGTAAATGAATGTACTGAAAGTACAAAATTTCTTTTTCAAAGTGAAGAGTTTTTCTCAGAATTTTCTATTTCAATTCAAAAATTTACTAATATTATTGAAATGTTTAACATGTTGAGTGCCACGTCAGCCATCTGTGGCTGACACTAGACTTTCCATTTAGGCCGCGTCGACTGCTGCTGACAGCGGGTAACATGATACATAACTATGAAATTTACACTGTTTTATGGAATTACAGAAAATTTATTTAAAATTTACTTAATTTTGATTCATTACAGGGCTAATGGATTTCATTGAAACTTGATAAACATAAAAATGTAACATGTTGAATGAATGCCTATAGGAATCACGTTCCAAACGTGAACTGTCCTTCTACTGCGATAAGAATCGCTGGCCCTACAATACCAGCACTTTTAAGTGGCGTGCATGACCTTAATGGGATTGGCTAAGAAATATGCGTGGCACTCGACATGTTAAATGTGTTTTCTCCATATTATTTTTTCCATTTGCTGAGATGAATTTTTATATAATGTTCTTAGTTATTTCTTTTTTTAATAGTAAATGTGTAAAAGTATTCAGCTACTCGCACTTCATTTGATGACTAGTTTATTATGCTTGGTATGGGAAATTGTTCTTTTTTTTTTTTTTTTTTTTTTTTTCTTGTTAAAAATGAGGAAAGTTGTTTTGAAAGGAACTCTGGTTAGGTTGCATTTATAATATCTTAATTATCACTATATTATCAGAAGTTCATCACTATATCATCATAAGTTCTCAGCACCATAGGGTCATACTGGCAGAACTTGTGAATATATATGGTGTCAGTTAGTCATGAAATAGTTATATTTTATGTTAATTAACCAATTTTTACTCTGACTTCTCATTTCTATTAACCATAACCAGAATGCAAATGGGATTGAAGAGTATTTAAAACAAGGGCTTTGAATGTTTTGCATAGAGAGCTTTTGGCAGTGGCATTTACTTTCTCGCACACACATCTGCCAGTTAATATTCCGGTATTAGCCATATGCGAACCAACATTAAATTGTGCCATTAAAGTTGAAACATTAATTAGGCTAAATTTATGTAGTTTTCCCAACTATGATATACTTAATTTCATAAATTCAACTTTGTTATTGTATGACCCACAAGTGGTGGAGGTTTGATTATATTTTTAAGTGCTACCTTCTGTTTAAATTCAAATTTAATAAAAAATTTTACTTGAAACATCCACAGGGCTTTGTCAAATCTGCATAGACGAAGCTATCAATAACTCACTTGCCAGTCTAATAGGCCTCAAAGGACATTGAATTTATATTGCATAATTAAGACCTTATACCTTGTACAGCAGTGATTTCCAAACAATATAAGACCTTATACAGCAGTGATTTCCAAACATTTTGGATCACAGAGCCCCTATATGACTTACCAAGTTAATGACGTTTAAGAAAGTATTACATAGGTAAAAGGTATATGTGGTGAAAAGATACATAGAAGATATATGTAGCAAGGAAGTATTTAAATAGTTATGTAATGTATACTGTGCAAAAAAAGGGGGCAGTTCTATATCTCCTGTTCTACTGGGCCGATTGACAAAATTCAACTTGCGTTTTTCATGTCTCAGAAGTTCGACTTAGGATATGTATTAGAATTGTATATAGCATTGTTCTAATATAGGTATTTTGACACAAAATCAGATATTTTTTGAAATAACATACCAATTTTTTCCAAATTTCGAATCTATGGCTGAAATTGCGCCAAAATGTCCAGTTCCGTAAAAATCCCAAAATTTCGAAAGATATACGTGAATTTATATATTGGAGTGTTTTTAAATTTGGCATATTTGTTGAAAGGGATAAAACATCAAGTGTGGTTTAGACACTTTACTGAAATTATTTTAAAGTTAGAACGATGTGGCTTTTTTTCCGTTCATGCACAATGTAAAAAGATAAGAACGAGGTACCTCTTTTTCTGCTCCGGCATAATGGAAGGGAAAGGAAAATGGGTTGCCACATATTTGGAAGTTCGCCAAGTGAATTATTTTTGGTGCAAACTGAGAAAATTTCGCCAAGATAAATTGTTGAATTTCTATGTAAATTTTGCATCAAATTTTACAAAATTTAATATCTATTCATAATATTTGAGTCGTGGAATCAAAATATTAAAAAAAAATTGGTATGTTATTTCAGAAAAAGTCAGATTTTGTGTCAAAATACCTATATTAGAACAATGCTATATATAAATCTAATATGTATCCTAAGTAATGCTTTCAAGACATAAAATACACAATTTGAATTTTGTCAATTGGCCCTGTAGAATGGGAGATATAGAACTATTCCCCTTTTTTTCCTCCTCTCAGTGTACATGAAAAGAAGTTATATTTGAAAATTTCTAAATATGCCATTATATGTGAATTTATTCTGAACATTATATATCAAAATTTAGCCATACATGTGTAGGTGCTTCCAAAGTTTGATAAATGAATCCCACTTGTGTTACATTTTGATTTATTGTCGAAAGCATCACTTGGGTTATTACAATAAAGTAGTTCCTGCGAGTTAATCATTGTATTCAATTCAAAAACATATTTATTCATTACTTGTTATTTGAAATTTTTTATTAAGACATAACATTAAAAAGAAAAAAGGGGGAAGAGTTTAATATTTCACCTACGGTTGCATTTCTGTGCACCGTTTCTTTTTTTTTTTTTTTTTTTTTTTTTTAAGTTCACCTATAGTTTATTTTAGTGAGTGCTTTGTTCTGTCTTCACACAGATTCTGTATATTGGTTTAGTACCTGTATAGGTGGAGAATCTTAGGGATGTGTAATTAAGAAAGATAACACTAAATTTGCTTTCTCTGGCTAATTTTGGATTCATTTTGTGGCCAAAACTCAGGTAGGCCAATTTTGAAATGCAGCTTTTAGCTTGATGAGAAATGTCAAATCTATGAGAACCTCATATCCCATTAGACTGGTTAGGTTTTCATTTATAATAAATCAAGCACCTTCTATCGAGCTAATGGAAAATAACATTCAGAAGAATCTTTCAAAGCTTCGAGGTGCACCTGAGCATTTTTTAATCCTGGTGTTGTTTTCTTCTAAGAAGGTTTTTTGTAAGCAAGATGTACTCTTTATCTGCCTTTTGCATTTGCATCAGAAACTGTCTTTTTTATCCTGACAATGATAGGTTCATTTTGTTTAATATTTCAGCAGATATGCCATTTTACACACCTACTTTTTCATCATTTTAATTGTCACTAGTTTAATTGTTCATAAAAAGTACTTCAGTTGCCAGCAGTTTCATCAAATGTGCTAACGTTGTTCCTCGAGATAACCACCTTACTTCAGTGTGCAGCAAGAGAAACTCTCGGTGGCTTCCCATATTCTTCACATACGAATACATAGAGTCTGCTTTTAAGAGGTCATAATTTTATAGAGTTTATTATTTCTGTTTTTAATGAACACTTGCTAGCTACATTAATTAAACCTTGCAAAGAATGAAATGCACAGAAAATTTGTGGGAAAATTGTTTAGATATCACAGTACTATCACTGTGCTATGAATATTCACATTGAAATGACTCTAAATGGATTAAGCATCTCTACTGATTGGGGCTAAGTTTTGAGAAGCTTCAAACAGATTCTAGGAATTCCCTGATGATCAGAAATGTGCGAGAAGCTTCTCAAATGTGCATTTCCAAGGAATGGCTGTGCATGTTCTGCTTGAGAAGATACAAAACTAAACTTGGGAAATTTCTGCATTCTAAGCTGTATTTCTAAATTTCTATTATTTTTTGTTTTTTCTTCTGTAATTTTATTATTTTTTATTTTTATTTTTTCTGAAGCAGAAGAGAAGCCCCGGGAAAGTGCATGTGAAACCATTAGGGCTGCATGAAGCACAATTTAGTCTCTGCTGCTATGCAGTAACTTCATGCCTCTTTGATCCTGCTTGCATTTTCAGTGAACTATTAGCCCCAATAAATGTATTTTATTAGCAAGTTCTAAATTTTTTAATGGTCTGTTGTAAAAAAGAGGCCCTGTTATAAGATGTGGAAT